GGTTTAGGGTGAGGGTTTTGGGTTTAGGTTTGGGGTTTCGTGTTATGGTTTAGGGCTTAGAGTTTAAAGTTAGGGTTTAGGAGAGGCTTTACAGTGAAGTCTCTAAAGTGTTGGGTTTATGGGGCGCAGAGGGTTTTCTGTGCGGTTTCATAGGGTGATATGCGATTTTTCTTCGATGTGTGTATGGTTTTGACGATCTTGAATGGGTTATGCTGGTTGATCGTGTTGTGTGGCTTGAAAAGGTTATATAAAGGGGCTTTCTGTGTATGTTCTGAGGTCTAAGATTGAGGTCTTAACAAGTAGCAACACGGTTCCGAAGGGCCCCCTAGTACATTTGTACATCGGAGTTTCCGAAAATGAGGGACCCTTATATGGTACCCTAAATAGTAGTATCCTTATTATAAGCAGCCCAAAATAAGGCAGCCCTCAATTTTCAAAAACTCCCACATGGAGATGTACCCACAGCCCTAGTCTCCCTATGCAGGCTCCAATTACCGGTTGCTTTCCAGTCTTAAGGTGTCAGGGTTTAGGGTTCAGGGCTGAGGCGCTTGAGGGGAGGGCATGAGGGCCCAGGGTTTAAAGTTTATGGTTTAGGGTTTAGGGTTTAGGGTTCTCATGGAGTGGAGTTTCTGTGGTCAAGAGTTGAGGGTCCATCAGTTCAAGGCCCGTCAGCTTTGCCATGTTGGGTTTAGGAATGCGGACTGGCTTTGCGTAGTGCTTCAACCGTAGGGGACTGCGGTGCTCGAGTCTTCCAAGTATCCTTGGATGTTGTTGACATGTCGAGGGATCCCTTAGCGAAGTGCGTTTAGGGTTTAGCGTTTGTTTTACAGATTTGTTAGGGTTGAGTTTCGGGTGTTCGGAGACGACAAGGATGCTGTAGGAATCGTAGGTAGGCCTCTCGACCAGCACATATATATATATATATATATATATATATATATATATATTAATATATATATATATATATATATATATATATATACATATTCATATGCCTACATCTATGTATGTACGTACATACATACAGAGGAATACAAGTTCGCTTGGATTTGTTTGTAGTATACTGTTTAGAACAGCAGGTGAATTTTATTTGTGTTTGCTAGTGACATTTGCAGCTGTATGTCAATTGACATTTGTGTTTTTGTGTGTGTGTGAGTATGTTTTCATACAACCCCTTATTAGGTTCTCATTTTTCCGTGGAGGGGCAGGGGACTTAGTAAGTAGGTTATATGTCGAGTTATAAGTACCCTAAATGGACTTACCCCCCCAAGTATAACCCTAACTTATAAACGATTTACGAAGTCCCCTGCCCCTCCAAGTACCCAGAGAGCCCAATACCCCTTAATGAAGGAATATATCTTAAATCATAATATGAAGCCCTATATAATTTAAGCCATATTCCTTAATTTAGGGGTATTGGGCTCTCTGAGTAGACTTGCCCATTGAGACGTAGAGTCGCTTTGTCGCAAGAGAGGCTCTTCCGATCATGGTCCCAAGGCCTTTTTATTGCTGATGCCAGCCGTTGAAAAGAGCCACCCTGAATTTTACCCGCAATCTTAGTTCCTTCAGAAAGCACTAAGCCGTGAAACTTCAAGTGCTTAAATGCACTGGCCTGAAGTTGGGCGGGATGGAGTGGCCACAGGCTGTCTCTGCTCTATGCACAAACTCGAAGCTCGTTCTCTTGAGATGAGGTGAGTGATCATAATAAGTGGTTGTGCATTACGGTATACCTGGGCACCCAAAACCTATCTTTGTAAGAACTCATGTATAAGAATCAGAATAAGCAGTCCTGAAAAGGCAGTTTATTGACGGTTCAGGTATACTGTGGCTATTTTCTCCCAGGCACAAACCTTCAAGCCCCAACCAGCATCAGGCCTGTGCGTTGACGTGGTGTATGGAGGCAAGCCTGAGTTGTGGGGCAGGGGTCGAGGGTTCAGGACTTGGCGCTTCTGGATTTGTCTTCACTTTTCGGGAAAGGGCTGGGTTGGGCTTAGCAGTCAATGTAGGCTTTCGCCAAAGGTTTCGGTGTTGAGGGTCTAGGGTTCAGAGGTCGGTTGATGAAGACAACAGAGTGAACCAAACATGGAGGCTGTTTAGGGTGCGGGGTGCATAAGCTAACCCCTAAACCCTAAACCCTAGCAAGCGGTGCAAGGGAAAGCACCCACCAGAGCCTTCTCGTCCTCATCTTTGGCGACGACTGCATGCTTTGGTTTGCGTTGGAGATTGCCCCAATGTTACCGTAACCCCCTCAGCCCTAAACCCTTGAGAGTTGCGGACCGACAGCTTCTAAAGCCCTCTGTCTCTCAGAGGGGGCCCTGCCAAACTCTAAACCCCAAACCCAAGAACCTCAGAAAAGCCCCCAGCTACACAATCCGAAGCTTCAAATTCCAGACCCTACACCCTAAATTGTAAACTATAACTCTAATCTTTAAACCCTTAACTCAAAACCTCTAAACCCTAAACCCTAAACTCTAAACCCCTAAGCCCTAAATCCCATAAGTCCCCCCTCACAGGTCCCCACAGCAGCTTGCGGCAGCGCCGTTTGCATATCCCTCGAGCCGGCCCGTACCGACCTTTTCTTGCGGGGGGGGGGGGGGGGTTAGGCCAACCGGGGCTTCAGGGCTTCCGGTTTAGGTTTAGGGTTTCAGGTTGAAGGTTCAGGGTTTACTGGTTTCGGGGCTTATGGGCTGGCTGTAGGGTTGTGTTTAACGGCTTTGAGAACTTACGGCTTTGTGAGAGTTTGTTCCTGTCGTGTTTTTCAATACCAGCTTTCTATGAGGGTTTAGGGTTTCGTGTAGGGTGTGAGATTGGATGTTTAGGACATGTGGTGTCGAGATTTCGGGCTGCAGGGTGCCTCAAGGAGGCCCAAAATCCTATTCGACGTTTACGGGGCCCCTACATTGTAGAACCCTTTAAAGTAGATTCCTCATAACTAGAATCCTTGAAAGGAGCCCTTTAAAGGAACCCTATTCTAATGATTCTAGCTATTAAGGCCCTTATACTATAGTACCCTTATAGATCCCTTATAGCATCCCTTTAAGGAGCCCTTTAAAGGAACCCTATTCTAATGATTAAGGCCCCTGTAGTAAGAGGCCGGCTCGGAGCCGCCAGCAAAGCGCGCCCGACAGGCCGAGAGGCGCCGACCTCCGGGGGTTCTTAGGGTTTAGGGTTTAGGAATTAGGGGTTTAGGATTTAGGGGTTTAGGGTTTAGGAATTAGGTGTTTAGGGCGTAGTTTTGGAGCATTCAAGTAGGGTATTAGGATTTAGGGGTTTACTGTACAGTTTTGGAGCATTCAATTGGAGCATTAGGATTTAGAGGTTTAGGGTTTAGTTTTAGAGCATTCAATTAGGGTATTAGGATTTAGTCTAGGGTTTAGTTTTTGAGCATTCAATTACGGTATAAGGATTTAGGAGTTAAGGGTTTGGTTTTGGAGCATTCAATTATTCATACATATTCCCATGTTATTACTCCATTGGGGGTTTACGTGTTTAGGGTTCAGAGGTTTAGGGCTCAGGGATTAGTCTAAGCCATCTACAGGTGGGTAGTTTTAAGATGGGTAGTCTCCCATAAGCCTTCCATACCACTCCTATAAGGTAAAGGGGTCTTATGGGAGTACTATGGAAGAGGAACTACCCACCTGAAATGGGCTTCTAATTAGGGCCCCAAAAGTATGGTGCCGGGTTTAGGTTCCCTGAGCCGGGGTTGGGGTTGAAGAAGTGGAGACCCCAAGTCAAATGGGAGTTTCCGAAAATAGGGGACCCTAATAAAGTACCCTAGATAGTAGGATCCTTATTATAGGGACCCCAACTAAGGTACCCCTCATTTTTTCGGAAACTCCCAAATAAACCCACATTCTCAACCCTCGCTGGACCCCGAAAGTAAATAATAGCCTTGTATAGGTGTCGGGCCTTCAGGCAGGGGTTACGAGTTTAGGCCTTAGATTGTCGGGTTTGGGTTTCGGTTTGCTGGGTTTAGGTGTTAGGGTTCGGGGTTTAGGTCTTTGTTGCTCGGGTGTAGGTCGAAAGGTAGGCTTGTTGGTATTATACTGTAGGGGCGTTTCATTGTGTCTTTATGTCTTTACGGAGCTATTAAGTTCCGATAGGGGTTTACTTCGACGTACATGGAGGCTCTTCGCAAGCTCGATTATAAGATGTCTTTTGTGATTATGTATGGGCATGAACACCGTTTTCATGCTTTAGATTTCTTGATGTTGTTTTTAGCCTTTAGGCCAAGCCCTCAGCCTGAATACCAAGCTCGTCTGCTAGGGCCGGCCCGGAGGGCACTGTCCGCGTGCGACACATCCTCTTCCGGCATCCACAGTTGCCACAGCCTCGATGAAGGAGAGTTCTGAATCTTTGAAGTATTTAGGGTTGCTATCACTATGGCTGCCGTCCTGTTAGTATTATTGTTATTAGTAAGTAGTAGTAGTAGTAGTAGTAGTAGTAGTAGTAGTAGTAGTAGTAGTAGTAGTAGTAGTAGTAGTAGTAGTAGTAGTAGTAGCAGGAGTAGTAGTAGTAGTAGTAGTAGTAGTAGTAGTAGTAGTAGTAGTATGCCACTGACGCTGTCACTACCACTACCACTCCTGCCGCTGCTGCCGCGACGACTATTTTGACTGCTGCTACACGTCGCTACTGCTGCTGCTGCTGCTGCTGCTGCTGCTGCTGCTGCTACCACTGCCACTACTGCAGCAGAGCAGGAGCAAAGCATGGCATGGTTGCGGATGCTGTTTGAAATCTATCCATCGGAAAGCGAGATGATGCCGCACCGCTGTTGCCGGGTTGCGCCTGATGCGTCATGCGGCATATATAATGGCATGTGGTATTCATACAACCTCATGCCTTATGTGCAGCGCCTTTGTGGCCCCACTTTCTTACCATTCCGTCCACCTCTTTCTGCTCCGTTCTTCGCACCGTGGTAGAGGTGGGCTGGAAATCTCTAACGGCTGCTAGTAACTTAAGAGATTTATTCTGTGAGGGCAAAGACTGCTTCGCGAGGCATCATGGGCTGCTCTTCCAGCGTGAGCGTGATGCACGACGATGTGGAAGACACTGGCGTCACCCGCGTCATCTTCACGGACTGCTGGCAGTTTCGTTGTCCAGGTTGACATAGCAATTGCCTGCGTGCATCTCAGTAAGGCTACCCCGATGGGCACAGAATCATGTGCAGGATGCTGCTGGAGAAGAGTTCGTGCAGCAGTCCGCTCCGTTCAAGGACTGGGATCATAGGACACGCTACTTTACGTTCAACGCTGCAAGGCAAGTAACCCTAAACCCTAACCCCAGCTTCTCACTTATCTGCGATGCCCAGGAGGGCCTTCGACGCTTCAACTCCTTTCGCATCAGCGACAGAGATGCCTCTGGAATCAACGTCCCGCTTGCAAGCACCCACAACCACCATGTAAGGCAGCAGCTCGAATGCAATGTGGGAGTTTTCGAGTCGGCAGGACAAGGGGCCGGTTCAGTTGGGAAGCTTGTGCTCCAAAGCTCGCACAGCACAAAGGCATGCTGGTCAGTCTCCGAGTTGGGGTGGTGTCTGACCTATCTTTTTCCAGACTCCCTCCCTCTGCCCCCTTCCCCCGCCTCCCTTCCTCCCTTGCTCCCTCACTCACTCTCTGTCTCCCTCTCCCCTCTCCCCTCTCCCCTCTCCCCTCTCCCCTCTCCCCCTCTCCCCTCTCCCCTCTCCCTCTCTCCCCTCTCCCCTCTCTCTCTCTCTCGTCGGCTCTCGCTCTCCTCTCTCTCTCCTCTCTCCTCCTTCCGCTCGCTAGCTCTCTCATCTCTCTCTCTCTCTCTCTTCTCTCTCTCTTCTATCTTCTCTCGCTCTCTTCTCTCTCGCTCTCTCTCTCTCTCTGCTCTCTCTCTCTCTCTTCTTCTCTCCCCCTCTCTCTCTTCTCTCTCTCCCTCTCTCTCTCTCTCTCTCTCTCTCTCTCTCTCTCTCTCTCTCTCTCTCTCTCTCTCTCTCTCTGTCTCTGACAATCTCTCTCTGACAATATAGAGTATATATATATACACATAATATTTGTGTTTATTTGTTGAGAGACACATAGGTTGACATACATGTACAATGTACATGCTTTGATGCATCTACTCGTGCCGGTATGCATGCCTGCACGCATGCAGACATGCATACAAGCATACATTCATTCATACATACATACGTACGCATAATATCTCTCTCGATATATAAACACATGTGTATTGACATACAAGTGCATATATGCATATATATATATATATACTTTTTGGTTTTCTCTTGTATACAATTATACATACAAACATATGATGATGCATATATATATATATATACACATACACATATGTACGTTTTCATTTATATATATACAGATATGCACACATCTCGTAAGTATACATAGACATAAACGACATGCACGTGCATACACATCATACATGTACATATATGATCGCACCCCCCCTCTCCATGATGCACCTCAGCAGTCTTGCCAACTGTTCGTGTACCGAATGATGTCTTCAAGTGCTCTCTCCGAGGTCCAGAAACCATCGGTATTTGCGGTGGTTTGTGTTCTTCACATATATTGACCCCTGCTCCTTGTACTTGTTTATGCATTTGTAACACCCCCCCCCCCCCCCCACACCCCCCCCCCCCCCCCCCCCCCACCCCCCCCCCCCCCCCCCCCCCCACCCCCCCCCCCCCCCCCCCCCCCCCCCCCCCCCCCCCCCCAAAAAAAAAAAAAAAAAAAAAAAAAAAAACAGGATCTGGTTCTGCGTCCGCGCCAAACGGAAGAAATACGTGAGCCCTTCTCAGTCAAGAAACACACGCACAGGAAAACTCGAATGTTTCTGCCTAGTTGGTGTTAGTCTGTACTTCTCCTTTTTGTCTATCTGTCTGTGTTTTTCTGTCTGTCTGTATGTCTGTCCTATCTTTCTATCTGCCTGTTTGTCCACATCCGTTTGTATGCCATATACTGTGAGATGTACGCCTCATGATTTTATCAGTTTACTGACGTAAGTCTTTTTTCGGGTGTGCAAACCGACCCCCAGACCTTAAAGCCGAGGCTCAACATCTTCCTGGCGGCTATCGAGAAGAACCCAAAGTTGCTGGAGAGGAGGGTGCTACCCAGCCAAGTTCCCAAGAACTGTGGCCAATCGGTGCTCTTGAAAGTTGAGAAGGAGCCAGGGCTGCTTGTGGCAACCACTATTCCTTGACGTTCCTTGTTTTTCTCACCATAGACCATACGCCCAAAAACCTAATCTAATTAATAAGGTTGCTACCTAGACCCCCCAACTACCCTCTAATGTACCCCAAATAACCTCTATTAAGGTCCCTTAGGACTCCATTAAAGGGCCCTTGGGGGGTCCTGGTATGTTGAACCTAATCCAATTAATCTAAACCCTAAACCCTAGACCCTAAAACCCTAAACCTAAACCCTAAACCCAAACCCTAAACCCTAAACCTAAACCCTAAACCCTATAAGCTTGCTATGTTAATGGACTACCTATAGTCTCCATTGTAGTTCCTTTTTTTGGTTTAACCACATATATAATACGGATCCTATAAGGTAACCCCAAAAAGGAACCACAATGGAGACATATACTGATAAAACCCTAAACCCTTTAAAGAACCCTTACAGATCTCTTTAAAGGAACCCTTAAAGATCCCTAAAGGGACTACAGGTGTAAAAGGCTTCGACTTTGCTGTGATCATAAAACCCTAAAGCCCTAAAACCCTAAAGCCCGAAACCCTAAAACCCTAAAACCCTAAAGCCCGAAACCCTAAAACCCTAAAACCCTAAACCCTAAGCCCTAAAACCCTAAATCGTAAGGCTTCGACTTGCTGTGATCAGGAATTCTCGGAGGTGAGCTCGGCGGAGGTTAGCACAGATGTGTCCAGCCCGGGCAGCATCGCTTAGAAGACCCCCTCAAAGGGGAGGAGGAAGGACCCTTAATGGGGACCCCTACCCTATAATGGGCTATATAATGGGTATGTAATATAGCTATGTTAAGGGTATATACCTAGGGGTCCTTAGTAAGGGGGCTTTATCCCTAAGGGTCCATGTACTCATATAGGGTTCCTTTAGGGGTACCATAAGGGTTCCTTTAAAAGGGATCTATAGAAAATCTATAAGGGTTTAGGGTATAAGGGTCCATGTACCCAAATAGTATATACATTGGCCTTAATGTAGTCCCTATATAGGTACATTAGGGCCCATGTATCTCTATATGAGTACATGGACCCTTAGGGATTGTTTAGAAGAAGCCGCTTTCCCTCCCCTGCGCCTGTCCACCGACTGTCGTGTTGAGGTTCAGGCGTTGGCGTTGGGATGTCAGTGGGGTTCAATGTTTAGGGGTTAGGGTTAAGGGTTTAGGGGTTAGGGCTTAGGGTTTAGGGTTTAGGGGATGTTCCCCTTCCGGCATCTTCGCATCAGTCCAGAGAAGATGCCCATTTGCAGACGTGGGGTGCGGGTGTTCATGTCGTTTCCGGGCGTTTCGTTGAGACTCGAAGCTGGCACATGTTCCACCTGGACCTTGTCGTCTGCAATTTATCAAGGGCGCATAGTCTGGTTGCTTCCGACTGTGATGGCGGAGTGAGACGACCGCTCTGACCGTGTAGCCCCAACGTGGCTATGCGGGTCAAGCCAGTTGTCTATCAGCACCCATTTGACCGACCAGGCGTCGGTCAACTTGAAGTGTGGCAGCGTGAGGGACCTGGGTTTGGAGTACCATACTTGAATACTTTTTTTTGGTGCCTGTTCCTTAAAGGAACCATTATGGAATTAAAGTCTATACTTGTTTGTCCCTGGTCATTTCCAGGAGCAAGGCAGTTGAGGTCAAGCTTTGCAGCTGCCAAGAAACGGGCTCAGCCCAATGTATCCCTCCTTTCTCTACGCACTTCCGCATGCTGGAATCAGTCTTCGCGCATTGGGACTTCGGCATCTGTGCGTCATGCAATTGAGGATGGGATTCTGTTGCACACCATGGTATTCGAAAGATTCGGTTCGATGCGTGGAGATTTCTTCCAGAGTTCATTTTAATGTCTTTGTCTACATCCCTAGGTGTTAGAACGATCTGACCGCCTTCGGAGCTCGCACGTAGTAATTGTCGTCGAGGTCGAAGTGGTAATGCAGGAGCCTTAATATTAGACTAGGGTTTTTTGGGGTCCTTGTTAGAATTACGGTATAATACACCCCCAAACCCAAGTCTAAATATTAAGGCCCCTGTATTGTCTCAGCTGGACCGGTTGTGGCAATGGTTGTTGGAGGTGGTGATAGCGGCACTGGCAGCAGTGCTCGTCGTAGGCACAGTTATAGTGGCAGTGCTACCAGGTAGACGTCGTCACAGTAGTGGGTGGAAGCAGTGGTCGTCGTTACAGTGGTGGAAGTAGTGGTGTGGTACCGAGCGGTGAAGATGTAGTAGCGTAGAAGTAGCAGACGTCGTCTCAGCAGTAGTAGTAGTAGTAGTAGTAGTAGTAGTAGTAGTAGTAGTAGTAGTAGTAGTAGTAGTAGTAGCAGTAGCAGTAGTCGTTGTCGTAGTAGTCGTGGTAGTAGTTGTAGTCGTCGTAGTAGTCGTGCTAGTAGTTGTAGTCGTCGTAGTAGTAGTAGTAGTAGTAGTAGTAGTAGTAGTAGTTGTAGTAGTAGTAGTAGTAGTAGTAGTAGTAGTAGTAGTCGTAGTCGTAGTCGTAGTCGTAGTAGGAGTAGTAGTAGTAGCAGCAGCAGCAGCAGCAGCGGCAGTAGTCGTAGTCGTAGTCGTAGTCGTAGTCGTAGTTGTAGTCGTAGTAGTAGTAGTAGTAGTAGTAGTAGCAGTAGTCGTTGTCGTAGTAGTCGTGGTAGTAGTTGTAGTCGTCGTAGTAGTCGTGCTAGTAGTTGTAGTCGTCGTAGTAGTGGTAGTGGTAGTAGTATAGTATTAGTAGTCGTCGGCGTCGTATTGGTAGTGGTGATCGCCACCATGCGATGTCTAGCAACGAGTTGTAAGATAGTGTTTGCGATCGGGCTAAGCGAAGTAAGCGAGCACCCAGACACTGCGAATGGGCAAGCTTTTTTTTTTTCTGGGCTTCCGTGGTTCCATCTGCCGGGATGGTGTCCGCCCATGAAAATGTCACAACTTTTCCTACATGTTTATGCAGACCCTTTGGCCGCTGCTGCTGTACTGATAGACCTGCTGCTGCATGAGTTGAGTTGAGTAGGCAATCGCAGCATGGCCCTGACAGTGATGGTGATCCTACTGGTGACTGACCATGACACCATGGTGGCATGGCGCTGTTGGTGATTCTACTGTTATGAACGGGAGGATGAGGCTTGGCAACAGCATGTGACACATTGTCAGTGTTGTTGAGCATTCATGGTGACGGTGATGGAAATGATGACTGCATGGTGATGACGAGGATGTTGGTTTGTAAGATGTTAGCAGAATGTTGACATTGATGCATCTGGAAACAGCACCCGATTTTGCAGACATTGAAGGAATTGCGCTCTCCGAACAGGTGTTCTGCCAATGCCTTCTCCGTCATGTTTGAAGCATTTTGAAGCGAGAGTTTTGCCCCACACTCTTGTTTCCATTGCTTCCTGCGCGACCCCAGCTTTCTGGCCCTTGCTTGCCAGGCAGTCTTCGCACATGTGCTGTGTAGTGTAGGAATTCCATGAACGGGCGGATGCCTTCCGGGTACAAAGGTGGTTTTCACACGCCAGGGCTCGACATGATTTCTCACCAATTGGGAGTTTCCGAAAACTAGCGGTACCTTATTTGGGGTCCCTATAATAAGGACCTACTATTGAGGGTATTATATTAGGGTCCCCCATTTTCGGAAACTCCCAATTCCTGGCAAGCAGAGACTTGCAACAGGTTGCCAGTTCGTTTTGATGTTGCGGTTAATGGGGCGCCACAATTTGGATGAGCTCCCCAGTTCTGCTCGTCAAGATTGCTCCTTTCAGAGCGGTGCCTGTCTTCCCTTCCACTTTCGCAAGCAGAGACTTGCTGCAAAATTTCCAACTGTTCCCGACTGCATTCTCGGAACTGTGGCGGTTTAGGGTTTAGGCTCTAGGCCCTAAACCCTAAACCCCTAATCCTAAACCCCAAACCCTAAACACTTGAACTCTAAACCCCTTAACCTAAACCCCAAGCCATCCCCACAGTGCCACCACCACAGACAGCAAGTTCTCGGAAGTGGCAGCCTCCTCCGCACAGCGACTCTTGCCAGTAATATAGGGGCCTAAGTAATTTATGGTTTAGGGTTTAGGGGTTTAGGGGTTTAGGGAATTACCAGTCCTGTAAATGGATCCTTTAAAAGGGTTAGCATCAGGGGTCTAGAATACGGGTTCTTGAGGGTTCCTTATTATACTTATAGTAAAATGTGCCCCAAAATCTTATTCTAAGTATTAAGGCCCCTATAGTACTTATGAGTTTGGTAGGGCTGCACGGACCCCAAACCCCAGACCCTCAGCCGAAGGAACATGTGATGCTTTAAATGATGTAGCACACGGTTCATCAGCGTGCATGGGGCTTGAAATCATGAATAGGCTCGGAGGGCGCACCATCGTCTTTGGTACTGTATGACTGCATGTGTGCGGATTTGGCACATTTTCTGAAGGCCCTCCACTCCTCAAGCATCTTTAGATGGTTTCCGAGACATATTTTCTGTCGCACCAGCTGCAGCAAGTGTGCGCGAGTAAGTTTCTCTATGCCGAACTGTAAGTTGCAAAGGATTGCCAGTTTTCTTGGAAAATTGGTCGTCAAGTGCATTGGTCGTCAAGTGCTGCGCCAGAACTGCAAGAGTACGCGAGGCCGTTACATCCGAATGAGGGCTGTCAGAGAGCAGATCACTCCGCTCCGCGAAACCACTTGTGAAAACAATGAGGGTTTAGCGCTCAGGGTTTATTGTCGCGACACATACGGGTTCTGCTATCAGTTGAGCCGAGGATTGTCGCACCCGTGCACCTATTTGTAGCAATTAGCCTTCATAGTGCCCGTTACAGTTCCGTAACCGTTGCGGTATGCCCTAAGCCCCTAAACCCCAGACCCTAAGCCCCAACTGCCTAACTGAACCGAACCGTAAACCCCATACCCTGAACCGTAATCCGCCAGGCAGTATTAAGGAAAACCATTAAAGGGGACCCCTCCTAACCCTACTGGGACCTGATTGAAAGACGGCTTACACACCCTTAAAGGAGCACGGTTTTTTTAATGTCGTGGGTTCCTGGGTGGGTGGGTATTTTCTCTATTATCGAAGAGGCTGCTCGATCCGGAGCTGCTGAACCCTAAACCCCTGGACCCCTAGAGCCCTAACCGTAGACTGACCGCTTATAGAACCCTTATGGATCCTTTTCAAGGAACCCTCAGGGATCCCTTACCATACACCCTACTTAAAGGATCATGGGACTTAGTAACTAGGTTTATAATTAGGGTAATTCTCCTTCTAGGTTTATAATTAGGGTAATTCTCCTTCTGACTACTTATAACCCCAATTAAGGTACTTATAACCCTACTTACTAAGCCCCATGATCCTCCAAGTAGACCCTAAACCCTCAACCCCATAGATCCCTTTTAAGGAACCCGTATAGATCCCTTTAAGAAGCCCTTTTAAAGAACCCTTACTAAGTCCTTTAAGTAAGCCGCCGGTTCCACCCGAGGCGACAGGTCGACCCGATGGCTCGGCGCGAGGGCGCTGCCAAGTCGGCCAGGGCCCTGGTTTAGGAGAATAGGGTTCCTTTAAAGGGGTCTTTAGGGCTACTTTCAGGGATACTATAGGGGTATGGTAATATAGGGGCCTTAATACCTACCTACACTATTTTGGGGTTTCCTTGTTAAGATTCTTGTGTAATGGGCCCCGAAACCCTGTTCTAATTATTACGGCCCCTGCATTAGGGGGTTTTAGGGGTCAGCTTTTCCTTTAAAGGGATCCCTAAGGGTTCTTTTTGCA